CAGTTGATTGATTTTATTAGTTATGTTTGTACTAGCGCTGTCAAAACACGGACATCTCAGTCAGAATCGAATCGATATCGGTTCGATATCGTTCGACGTCGAAAGCATCAAATCGATATCGAATTGATCAATATCAAAAAATCAATATCAGAATATTTCATGTTATGTTGAATAATTGATTTTTCTGACATTGAGTTTTCTTCCAAACAGAGTAATACTTTTTAAGTAGTATTTCAAAACGAAACGTAATGCTGTAGTGTTGCGTCCGCGGTGAATAATTATTAAATCTTTTACAAAATAAGTTATTATATAATATTTCTTGTACGTTCTCTTCATTCCTTGATCTTTTTTACATAAGAGAGATATTCCATGTAAGAAAGTATTGGTCGCCTTTAAAAGGGCAGATTACTGTCTGTCGCTCTAAAAAGAACGGATTGATTGTGATGAATAAAGTAATTTTATAAGAGGTGCTCGAAATGTTCACCATCCATTCTAACCCAAGCTCTCATACGTCTCAATAAATTTCTTTGCACGTTTTGCATCACATCTTCTTCGATGACCCATACGGCATACCGTAATCTTGTATCAAGATCTTTCATGTCTTCGGGAAGCGTTTTATAAATTAATTCCTTGCAATATCCCCAAAAAAAGAAATCCAGAGGATTAAGATCTGGAGATCTTGCGGGCCAACGTATTGGGCCGTATCGACCCATCCATCGTCTAGGAAATTGCTGATTTAAATAATCCGTCACAATTCTAGCGTTGTGTGGCCCCGCACCGTCTTGCTGAAATACGATCTTGCTTCTCTCGAATAATGGGATTTCTTCTAAAAAATCTGGTAAATTATCCCTTAAAAATTCCAAATATGTTTCGCTATTCAAAATATCTGGAAGAATAACTGGACCTAATATCTGCGTTAATTTTCCCATAATTTCTGCCCAGATATTCATCTTCTAACGAATTTGGAAGTTTCTATTTCGCGTAAGTCTGAGATTTTCATCGCTCCATAAATGCATGTTATGCGAATTAAATATCCCTTCTTGCGTAAATAGCGATTCATCTGAATATTATTTGAGATGGAAATCTTGGATCTCGATCTACTCTTCTTAAAAAGTTTTCGCAGAACGTTTTCCTTAGAGGATAATCTTCTGGTCGTAACTGTTGCACACATCCGCGAATCGCAATGCTACGCGGATCGCGAGACCGCGCACGTGCTCCGATCGCGGAGGGGACATCGAACTCCAACAAAGATCGTATAAATACGAAACGATCGATATGTCAATCAATAATCCCTCGATCGCTTGAAGCGAAAGATTCTCAAAGGCAAGAAATTCATAGAAGCGAGAGGTTTCCAGAAGCGAGGAAGATATTCCATGTGTCATTCTCTATCAGGACGATAATATGATCTACACAAATGAAGAATATTATGATATGCTGATGGTACTGGGTGAGTGCCACGGACAGCATTATCCTGCTGCAAGGCGGTACGCGGAATTGTATCCGAACTGTCAAAGACATCCATCGTCACTGTCATACTCCGAGCGGCTCAAAGATTGTACGAAACCGACAGGGTCCTACCAAATAATCA